CTGCACAATATTTCTGTGGAAACTGTGATGCATTTTATTTTTCAGGATTCACAGATGAACAAAAGAACAGCGTTTTTCGGAATAGTAATCTTTTAAATCTTACGCATCTCAAATTTTTGAATGGTCGTGCATCACAGTTTCCACAGAAATATTGTGCAGCACGACTGTCTTCAACATTGATAATAATCAGAAATGTTTCTCGAGCAGCAGATCAGCATATTATACTGATTTCTGAAGATCATGTGACACTGAAGACTGGAGGAATGATGCTGAAAATACAGCTTTTTAAATTACAGTTGAACAGATATTCACATAGAAAACAGCTGTTTTACATTATAATAATATTTAACAATTTTTACTGTATTTTTGATCAAATAAATGCAGCTTTGGTGAACAGAAGAGACTTCTTTCAAAAACACTAAAAAGGTCTTAATTATTCCTAATGTTATTAGTAGTGTTTAATGCATGTCACGTCTTGTCTGGTAATATTCAGCGTTTAATAACCCGATGTGCGCAACACTTGAACACAGTTGCGGTTCCCGTTCTTCTCGGCTCCAGCAAACACCCACAGACTCTGCGGGTCGCTCTCGGGAACAAAGCTGCAGTGTTCATAACGCGGCTGCAGCCCGACCCAGTCTGGAATGTCCCATTCATGAGCATCTGCAGAAATACAAAGGCAATATGTTACATAACTGCAGATTTCATGGGCTCATATTAACTGAGAAACTACATGCAATGAATTATAAAATGTGATTAATAATGGTTAAAGACACTTAAAAATATATAGCTAATACATTTATATAAATTAAACCAAAAATGCTGATGTTGATTAAACACATTGAAAGTTTTGTACACTGTTAATTAATGCATTAATTACATGCATTACATATTGTGAACTTACAATTAATGTTTTTTCTGCATTTGTTTGTTTGTGTTTACAAATATGTTACTGTTCATTGTTAGTTTACAATGCACTAGTAATGTTAACACACAAATATATGTATTATTTTATTATGTTATATATAAATAAATAAATAAAAAATGTATAAATTAAATCAATTAATTTTAAAGTTAGATTGTTCATATCTTTTAGATGCTATGGATCCCCAAATATGATCGTTCTCATGTAAGGGACCCTGATCCTAAAATTTTAAAGGCATCTATATAGTTTCTTGAATAAACACCCAATTTATACTCTAAAAATATGACGTTATATACATGTCTAAAGTATTATTTGGAAAATATTTCATTTCTGTTAAGTTACATTATTTTCTAATATTTGTTTATTAAATTATTTACTTAATTATTTTATCTTATTTGCATTTATTTTATCTTATTTGTATTAATCTAATTTAATCTACATTTTATTTGTTTATTTTAATACATTTTATTCAAATTTTTTATTAATCTATTAATGCAATCTAACATATTTTTCAAATTATTTTAATATTATTATTTATTTTACCTTTTTGCACACTATTTTTCTCTAAACTTTCAACAGTTTATGTCACTCCTTGCGTTTCCTAGTTTATTTACCAACAGACTGTCTCTGAAGAACACTGGATTTGTGTCTTTATTGCTTTAAACTGTAACAGGACTCAGTTTGTACCCTCTTCATGCAGCATGCTGAAGTGAGCGCACTACCTAGATTGATAATGTAAGAATCAGAGAAGCTGCCATCAGGATTGGCTCCACCGACAATTACAATCCGTCCCTTTCCTGCATCAGTGGAGGGCAGAAATGTGCAGGTGTGACCCACAGAAACACCAGGACCGGCTCCTGTGGGCACCACGACATACCTGTGAGAGAAACAGACAGCTGTCAAACACACACACACACACACACACTCACTCACACACACTGACACACACACACTCTCTCTCTCTCACACACACACACACACACACACACTCACTCACACACACTGACACACACACACTCTCTCTCTCTCACACACACACACACACACACACACTCATCAGTAATTCACAACAGCTGATACCACTGTCTGCTCTGTGGTCGCTCCTCCGGCTCGAGGATAGGCAGCAGCTCCATCAGTCTGAGAGCTTCAGATCATCACTCAGCAGTTTATACTCTATAAACACACATCACAGCGTTCTCTGTTTTAATTGGCTTATGCAATAGGCATAAATTCAGGCTTTTAATTCACGTGTGTGACCCTGCAGCACAAAAGCAGTGTTAAGTCGCTGGGGGATATTTGTAGCAATAGCCAACAATACATTGTATGGGTCACAATTATACATTTCTCTTTTATGCCAAAAATCATTAGGATATTAAGTAAAGATCATGTTCCATGAAGATATTTAGTAAATGTCCTACCGTAAATATATCAAAACTTAATGTTTGATTAGTAATATGCATTGCTAAGAACTTCATTTGAACAACTTTAAAGATGATTTTCTCAATATTTAGATTTTTTTGCACCCTCAGATTCCAGATTTTCAAATATTGTCCGATCCTAACAAACCATACATCAATGGAAAGCTGATTTATTTATTCCTTATGTCTGGTTTTGTGCTCCAGGGTCACATTTATCGAATGAGAACTAATTTCACGAAACCTGTTTCTATGGACGCCGACTCCGTTGCTATCGTTACGTAAAAGCGTTTATTCTACACGCAACACACGAGCGTTATGACGTCATGCCACATCTCCTGCGCGCAATCACAACGACAGCAAACGCTTTATCTTTATAATAAATAATAGATGTTATGACTGATGATGGACGGGTTGGACGAGCGCTACACCGGAAGAGAGAGCAGTTAGTGTGAAAACTGCTATTGTGATGACAGTCTAACCGGAAATAATTCCATAATAAAGGTCTCCATCGTGGCAAAAGCACTAAGACAGTATAAAATAAAATAAAATGTGATTTTTTTATTTCAGATTTCATCATTTATATATTTTATAAAATAATTAGTTTACACTTAAATGAAAATATTTTTTATAAATATAATATATACGGTAATAATAGAAAAATATTATATAAAAATAATGAAATAATTTTAAAAACCGCTGGAAAATACACATGATAATAATAAATCCTTTATCATAGAAAAAAATAAATAAGAAAATACGTTAGGAAGATAATAATAAAAACATACAATTATATAAAAGGTAGGCTAAAATGAATGAAAAGCTTATATTAAAAAGTTAATAAAACGTTAATGTTAATAAAGAGATGTTTATGTCCAGAAAATGTTCTAAAATTATCAGAAAATGAAAAAAGACAGTATTATGGAATCAATGCCACATATATTTGAATAAAACAGTAAAGTATTGCAAAAGAAAACGTTTTGGAGGAAAAAAGCACAAAAAAAATATTGCACAAACCGGGAAAAAAATAAACCATCCTGTTATCTGGCATCATCATGACCTCTCAATATAACATTTCTGTTGTTACAGTGTCAGAATTGTTGTGTGTGTGTGTGTGTGTGTGTGTGTGTGTGTGAGAGAGAGAGTGTGTGTGTGTGTGTGTGAGAGTGAGTGTGTGTGTGTGAGTGTGTGTGTGTGTGTGTGAGTGAGTGAGTGAGTGTGTGTGTGTGTGTGAGAGAGAGTGTGAGTGTGTGTGTGTGTGAGTGTGTGTGTGTGTGTGTGAGTGAGTGAGTGAGTGTGTGTGTGTGTGTGAGAGAGAGTGTGAGTGTGTGTGTGTGTGAGTGTGTGTGTGTGTGTGTGAGTGAGTGAGTGAGTGTGTGTGTGTGTGTGAGAGAGAGTGTGAGTGTGTGTGTGTGTGAGTGTGTGTGTGTGTGTGTGAGTGAGTGAGTGAGTGTGTGTGTGTGTGTGAGAGAGAGTGTGAGTGTGTGTGTGTGTGAGTGTGTGTGTGTGTGTGTGAGTGAGTGAGTGAGTGTGTGTGTGTGTGTGAGAGAGAGTGTGAGTGTGTGTGTGTGTGAGTGTGTGTGTGTGTGTGTGAGTGAGTGAGTGAGTGTGTGTGTGTGTGTGAGAGAGAGTGTGAGTGTGTGTGTGTGTGAGTGTGTGTGTGTGTGTGTGAGTGAGTGAGTGAGTGTGTGTGTGTGTGTGAGAGAGAGTGTGAGTGTGTGTGTGTGTGAGTGTGTGTGTGTGTGTGTGAGTGAGTGAGTGAGTGTGTGTGTGTGTGTGAGAGAGAGTGTGAGTGTGTGTGTGTGTGAGTGTGTGTGTGTGTGTGTGAGTGTGAGTGTGTGTGTGTGAGTGTGAGTGTGTGTGTGTGTGTGTGTTCTTTGCGAACACGTTTTGGCGTGGATTTGATTCCGTACACATTCAGCCCAAGACAACACAGCGCACACACCCCAATGGCCCCGCCCACAGTCACGCCCACACAGTCTCTTTCTGCCTGGAAATCAACAGATGCAGCAGCTCACTCTCCTCAGACACTCCTTCATCTGTCCTGAGAGAGCCTGACTCTGAGGAATCATCATCATCATCATCATCATCATCTTCATCATGTCTTCAAACTCAAACCTCACGAGCATGAGACGGACTGTTGAGCAGCTCAAACTGGAAGCCAGCGTGGACAGAATCAAAGTAAGTCTCAGCACTCAGAAGTAAGTGATATTTCATTCAATACATACAGAGATGCTGGACGATTTCACAACAAACTTCAGGTTATATCTCTAAACGTTTCTCATTCACATGTATGCGTTTGTTTATAATAGCAGCATCTGCAGATATGAGATCAATACTTCTGCTCTTAATTGTGTTTGTCTAGTGTTAATGGATAGCTGTTATTCACATTCAAAACAAGCAGAAATGTGTGGATGTGATCATTCTTTTAAATATGACAGTGCTGTTCACAAATATCCTAAAATATGATATACAGCAAAGCAGCAGAATATGGCTGGATATGAATGAGCAATTATGGTTTGTTTAATTTAGCTTATTATTATTATTATTATTATTGGTTTGATATTGGAGGCAGATAATGCCACAGCTTACTGTTTGCAACTACTGTTTTACATTATTATTAAAACAAAGAAATCATATGCTCAGTGAAATTAAATTATTATAATATATACTATATATATAGTAGAAAACAGAAAAATAAGGTCTGATATTTTTCAAGATCAGACTAATACAAAGACAATTATGGCAGATTATGATCAGCAATATAATTTGAATCTCTAAAATTATTATTAATAATAATTATATATATATATATAAATAATAAAGAGTTCATTTGCAAAAACAGATTTTTTAATTATATTTTTGAAAATCATATTTTTTCATTGTGCATTCCAGTTAATCTCAATCAAACTGCAGTTGGGTTATCTTGATTAGGTAAAAAATAACTAATAAATAGCTAACTAACACAATAAAAACATTACAATATAATAAAAACATGATTTTTGAAAATGTAAAAAACTGAGTTATCTGTCTTTGCAAATAAACTCTTCATATATATATATATATTTGTATGTATGTATATATATATATATGAAATTGAAATTTCTGTCACTGTAAAAACAGAAAAGGGATATTAAGAGGCCAGATATCAGGATGGTTAATTTCTTAGGGCACATTTATTATGAGCAGCAGTCATTGATTTAGTCATTTAGAAATCGCTGACACACAGTTCCTTCTCCGTGTGATCTGAGTGTGTTTGTAACGCAGGTTTCTCAAGCCGCTGCGGATCTACAGCAGTACTGCCTGCAGAACGCCAGTAAAGATGCACTGCTGGTTGGTGTCCCGGCCGGGAGTAACCCGTTCAGAGAGCCGCGCTCATGCGCCCTGCTCTAGAATGAAGGTACACAGTCTTATGAGCGACCACAGACACCTCACAGCTCACTTATAACGCAAGAATGAGCCTTTCGTGAATGCGTGAATGTGTGAGTCTTCCGGTTTCAGACAGTTTTGGTTATTTTAGCTTGTACAAAAACAGTCTGGTGTACTGATTGCAAACTGGTATTACTATTTTTATTTATTATCATATTCATAAACATGCTGGCTTGTTGTGCAAAAAGTTTTACTGTCTACTAGGGGTGTAACAATACAGAAAACAATTAGGCCTAATTAAAATAAATACAAAATATATTTTAAAAAATTGCATTAATTTATTTGTAATACATTTATTTAAACTAGATTAAAATAATACATTTAAATGAATAAATAAAAATTTGATTAAAATAGATAAATAATCAAATTAAGAACACATCTATAAGTATGTAACTATAGAAAATAATATTTTTCAAATAATAATAAAAAAATGGTAATTGTGACTTTTTTTATCTCACAGTTTCAACTTTGCTTCTCGCAATTCTGAGAGAAAAGTCATAATTGCGAGATATAAATTTACAGAAGAAAAGTCCGAATTGTCAGATATAAACTCAGAATTGTGAGAGAAAATTCACAGTTACCTCTTTTATGTTTATATTCTGTTGTGAAAAAAAAACAAAAAACTGAATTCCGAGATGTAAAGATAAAATTGTGAGAAAAAAGTCAAAATTGCAAAATATAAACTCTAATTTGAGAAGAAAGTCTTGCTGTAAACAGAATTGCGAAAGGGGGTGGGGGGTCAGAATTGCTACAGTTTATATTTGTTTAACTCTGACTTTTGTCTCAGAATTGCAAAAATAAAATAAAATAAAAATTCCGTGGCATAAACCAGCTTCCATAGAAAACAGCTGACTTCTGTATGCAAACTAAGCTGGACATTTATAGAGCTCCAACAGTCATAATATTTACATGAGGGAGTGACGAGCAGTAATTAAATAAGCCAGCCAATATGTGTCAATATGTGTTTTAAAACTGTATTTTTGAAATGGAAATAAAGAGTCATTGTAACGTCTCGTCTCGATTCATTTGTGTATTTGTCCTGAAGTTGCCTGCAGCTTCTCTTACTATTTAAATATAAGCTCATTTCACCCAGATATATTCTCAATAGTCATACGCAGCTGTGTGGGATATTATTTTTAGCCCGGAGCGTTGGACTCGCATCCGGCTTTCTGTTGGGAAGCCTGATCCGACTCTTTTACATCAACAGGAAGCTGGGTTTAGAGGAATGGGGGAAGTAGAGGAAGTGCTGGGATAGTGGTGCTTCGTCTTTTTCTCTAATATATGTGTTTCTTTAAAAATGTGGCTAAAGGAAAATGAGTCATGACTGCACAGTCAGCCAGAATTCAGATTCAGGGAAGCATCTGTCCAACTTCTGCTCTTGACCAGCATGAGTTCGTCTGTGGTTTGATGCTACACTTAGTTCAGCACGAGATGTGTCGAAACACGTCTGGCTTTTCAATGGATTTAGTCTCCGAATTGCAAAGTGCTGAAGTATGAAAGTTTTGTCATGTTTACTCATTCAAATCTTCATGCATCTCTTTTGAATAAATCAGCTTTCCATTGATGTATGGTTTGTTAGGATCGGACAATATTTGAAAATCTGGAATCTGAGGGTGCAAAAAAATCTAAATATTGAGAAAATCATCTTTAAAGTTGTTCAAATGAAGTTCTTAGCAATGCATATTACTAATCAAACATTAAGTTTTGATATATTTACGGTAGGAAGATTACTAAATATCTTCATGGAACATGATCTTTACTTAATATCCTAATGATTTTTGGCAGAAAAGAGAAATGTATAATTGTGACCCATACAATGTATTGTTGGCTATTGCTACAAATATCCCCCAGCGACTTAACACTGCTTTTGTGCTGCAGGGCTTATTCTTGGTCGAACATCATCTTTTGTGCTCCACAGTATGGTTTTGGACAGATTTGTGCCATTTTTAGAATGAACTGTTCTTTCAGAATTGATTAAATACTAAATGTTTCTATTTATTTTTCACATTTATTTTCCTTTTTTTTTTCTCCACAGGAGAAAGGAGGAAGATCAATGGAACGCTGATCTTTTACATTATGCAACAACATGACGTGAAACTTCATGAGATATATTGTGCAAATCTGAGAATACCGATGCCTTAAATCTCATATATCTTTAAATATTCAGCTTTTTTGGTCGGATGCTAAAGAATTATTTGAAACTGAAGCATTGGTTCTTATGAATGATTTGGATTTATCTAGAAGAAATTATTTACATTTTTTAAAAAAGAGAGATATGTCTTGTCAAATTAAGTGTGTTAATTGTGATTTGTCCAGCCAATGAAAAAAAACAAAAAACTAGTAGTCCTAGTAGTCAATGATTTAAAAATGCAAAATAAATATAATCTACGTATATACATATAATTGATACATATATGTATCTCACAGTGTTTCAAGTATAGTTAAACTGACATCTCTACACTGTTAAGAGCATCAACTCTATCGGTTTAAAGGCAAGAAAAGATGTGCTGAAGATGAAGGACATGATAGACAATGTTTTTCTTTCGTGGGAATGAATAAATGATCTGTTATGAAATGAACCTGTTGCTCAGGTCAATCTGGGTGGACACAAAATTACTTCTGTCTGTGACCTGAGTCTGTCTATCTATAGTTTTAGGCAAAAATATAAACTGCAGCTTGGAAGCTCCCACAGTCACGAGCAACCAGGAAATATCAGGGAATTTTAAAAAGGAGTTTCCAGTCGTTGAAATGTAAAAGCCATGGAAATTTCTATCGCGAGTGTCCAGTTGTGTAGTGATGCCCTGCTCGATCAGTATTTCCACACAGTTTCAGTGAAAGGAAACATCTACTTCCTGTTTCTTGTCATGGCTTTATTCTGGCTCCGAGAGTATGAAGATAAATCCACTTCTGTTGTGACACTGAGAGTTTATATAAGATGAGCTTTTGTTCATTCAAACCTTTATGCATTTGAATATTGTCCGTCTTTCTGGTACATGATGCAAATCTGTGTGGTTGTGTTTTGTGTAACAGATACACTCATATCAGCACGTGTTCATAGTGTCCATAAACACAATCTTTCGTTCATTTGAAGATTTCTAAACTGATTTCTAAATGGCTTCAGTATCACTTCCCTCTCCACATGAGCAAGCATTATAAATCATTTTTGTTTCCTCAGAGAATATTACCTCTGGGCACAGATTGGGTCAGATAATAACATATGCAACACACACCTAATACACTAAACCTTTCAAACTGGCACTGCAACTTTGTTTACAACATATATATATATATACAGCATATACTGTAGTATGTATACTGTGTGCCTTTATGCAGCAGCAATATATCCACTAACGGAAATCTTGAATGTAATATGTATACTTACTGTATAATGCCTGTTATTTTATTAAATTCAGTATGAAAAATAGTATGAAATATGCAACAATCTGTGTACTATATAGATATACGTGTGTCTAAATATTGTTGGGCCTTTATATGTCACATACAATTCATTGTAGAAGAAAATATCAGCAGAATAAAAAATCTACAGGGTCATTTTTGCTCAGTGAATTAATTACGTTAACTAATGAACATGTGATGCGGGGATTTCACAATCACCTTTGGCCAAAAAAGTGAGCTTATGCTATTTTTCTTTTTTAAATTAATGACACTGATATTTTTTGTTATTTAATGACAATTATACATTGATAGCAGAGCTTTTATGTGTTTTTTTTTTTTATTAATTAATTTATTTTTGTTTAAATATAATTTAATTTGGCACTTTTTTGAAACCATCAGTCAAAAAAAAAAAAAAAGGATTAATTAAGATTTTTTTTTATGTGTCTGAAGTCCCTTCTGCTCATGTTGTGAAATATTATTAGCACTTAAAAAAGCTGTTTTCTATTTATGTGGTAAAATGTCATTTATTTGTGTTAATACATTTTTTAGGATTCTTTTATGAACCGAAAGTTCAAAACAGCAGCATTTATTTTAAATAGATTTTTTTAATGATTTCTTAAGGATAACAAAATACTAATGATGCTGAAATTCAGCTTTGATCACAGAAATCAATTACAAGAAAACAATTAAATTGTAATAATATCTCTCAGTATTACTGTTTTCACTGTTTCTTGTACTACTTTCAAAAAATAAATAGAAAATCGGCTTTTAATCGGTATCGTGTCTATGAATTAGTGTCTGTGTTTTTTTTCTTTTTATTTATTTACACACACACACACACACACACACACACACACACACACACACACTCTCTCTCACACACACACACTCTCTCTCA